ACTGTAAGTTATCTTCACCCTTGTCTCTATTTTAACCATACAGTATTTTAAAAGTTTGAATCTTAATGCATTATTTACTAGGTTAAAGACCGAAATCTCCATTAGAGAGAGAGAACCTAAGTTGGAGTAATGTTTTTTCTTTTCTCCACACAGTCTAACAATATCTCTGAACTTCATAACTAGTTTGACTGTCCAAGACAGTTTTTCTTTAGCTACACAAAAACCACTGGGTCATGGTGGTTAGAAGTTATGCATAGTGTAGAAATCTAGCTTTCTGCTTTAAAACAGAAAGGTATGGCAGTGTTGGAGGGACACCTTCAGTATGCCTGCCACATCCAAGGATTTCCAGTTTGCAGTCAGTCCATTCTGATTGATTTATATGCCAGGCTCCAATGAAAGAATGGTTTAGAGCTTAATTCATCTTCAGGGAATCTGGAAATTGACCTGAAATATAACCTGAGATGTGTGTAAATACTGACTCTAAACTGTAACTTTTGGAGGGTTTTGTTTACACTTCTTTAAAGAGGAAAATCTTTGGAAATGCCTCTTTAGGCCTGAATTCTGATTTCCCCTGTTTTCTGCATATCAGGAAGTGAAATGATCTCACTACATTGTGGTTTGCTTTGGGATTTTTTTATTTAAATATGATCTTCATAAGAAGCTGTCTTTCTGTTACCCTTCAAAAAGGGTGATTTGTTACAGAAATCCCAGCTGGTAAGAGTGTGGGAGAAGTCCTCAGATCTAGTTAAGATTTTTCTTGTAGCACTGCTTGCCTAAGTTGTTTTTTGGTTTTGGGTTTTTTTTAACAAGCAATGATTTTGTAGAAATGTAAGAAGAGAAGACTGTTCGTCTTCATTCACCAGCATTAAGCAAGATTCTCAAACATAACAGTAACACATTTCCTTTCCGTAGACTCCATTACCACTTCAGATGTGTTTACTCTTAGTTTTTCTTTCCTTTTTTCTTTTTTTTCCTTTAATCCCATATTGTGTGTTAGCATTTCAGAATATGTTGAATTTGCAGTTTTTGCTTCATAAAACTCTGTTCTGTTATCCTGGCTTTCATTTTAAAATTAAAAATATGGCACCCCCTGCCTCCCAAAAAAAAAGAAGAAAAGCACTAAAACCAAACCAGTGCTTGTACCTTAACCCTTTTTACTGGAAAAGGTGGAGAATAAAGACAGAATAGTCTACTTGGGTGTTAGCTGTCTGAATTTACAGAAAACCTGAACCAAGACCTTTTAGAACAGTGATGAGATGCCCATTACATGGGCCTCAGGTTGTTTTTCCAAGGTGCCATGGAATGCCTGTTACTTTGCTGCAGCCAGATACTTGACATTTTGGCAGTTCATTGCAATACAGAGCAAGAAGACAAACACACAAATCTGTGGAATTTGTTACGTCAATCTGGGGAAATAATTAGGATCTTGTACATTTTCTTTTGGTGTACGTTGTGGGCAGATTCATACTTCATATAGATAACCTAAATATTTTATTCCAGATAACACAACCTGAAATGTCGTGTTCTAGTTAGTGATTTTTCACAGTTGTTGGTGCAAATTTAGCCTTTAAAAGCTTAGTCAAAACATAATTGTAGTTACTTGTTATATATGCGCTTATAGTCAGAGCTTCCAGTTCATTTTCTCAAAGAGAAATCTAATTACCATGCCTCTGAACTGCTCTGTAAACCAAACCAGCATTTGGGAACAATCAAGGAATGTGCCTCAAAATGATTGTGTTGTTTCACAGCAAGTAGTTAACGTAAATGCAGCTGTAATACAGGTTTTGTTACCTAAGAATACTCTTCCATCTCTTGAATTCTAAATTATGTCTTGTACCACTCCCTTGTAGTCTTACTCTAAAAGCTGATTTCATATAGACAATATGGCAGGTAGTTCATTAGTATAGCCAGTATTTGGTAGTCTGGCCACAGTTTGTCTCGTGCTTTAGAAAATCAATTCATTGTCTTCATTAAATGTCAATTTTTCACATTTTCCAGTCTTTTTGGTGTCTGAATTTTTCATTTTCTTACACTGGAACCAGTTTTGTTGCATACAGAGTACTAAGAGTATGTTTTATTCCTAGTATTGAATGGAAGGCTATTGTTTTTCAGCTTACAGAATGATTTCTTGAAATGCAGTGTTTTTTCTTTCTGTTGTGGGATTTTAGCATGTCACAGTTGCTAGGTTTTGCTTATCCATCTGCAGTCCTCAGCAGAGATAAATTATCTCATTGGATAAATATTCTATTTAACTGAACTTAACTGTTGTGGTTACTGGTCTAAAAGATCACTATTCTTCATGGCTGTTTTGCACAACAGTCATCAAAAAACATGCCTTTTTTTTTGCCTCGTGTTATTGGTATTATGACTCACAGGAAGGTATGCTGATGAGAGACAGCTTTATTCTGAATGAGAAATGAATATGCATTTACATATATTTTCTTCCTCCCCACTTACTCCCTTCCTGCGGTTTGCTGCAAATGAGAATGAGGGGCTAGGGTTGAATGAAGCTGGGATTTTGGTTACTAGAAGGTGAGGAAGGTTGTGATGGATTCCTTTTATATGTTAAGGACAGATTTAGCCTTTAAGAGTTTCTTGATGTGAATCTTGTATGTGCATATGAATGTCATCTATCTGGAATTTCCAGTGTGGAAACACTGCTCTGTGTGTGGATGAGGCATTAATTATCTCTTTATTTAAACCCTTTTATTTTACTTTTTGCATATGTTTTCAAAACTTCCTACATATGATGTGTAATTCTGTACTTGTTAGCTCTGCAACTACACTTCACCCTCAAGCTGCTTGTTGAAAAGTAGTAGCTAAAGGTCATGTGTATAAGCACTCTTCCATAAAGAGTTGACTGGATTTTCATATGAAAACAGCTCTAAATATTTACTAGCATTTATACAGCTCTGTATAGCTGAAGTGTTTCCCTGGAATAGATGAGGTAATTAAGAACAGTTATTATAAAACTACTTATGTCAAAGCTGACGGGTGGCTCTGAATGTTGGCTTTTTCTCGGAACTGTCCTGAGTTTCTGGGGTTTTCCACCAAATATTACCCTTCCTCTACCCCTCCAATAGAAATCTTGTGTATTACAGAATGTCAGTTACTGATTTTGGTAGGTCAATAAATGAGAGGGGAGGGAAAAAAAAAGAAAAAAGGAAAACTTAGATTGACACAAGTAGCAAATATAGATTGTAATTTGGCCTCTTGAGTTAATGCTTTATTATAAATGAAAAATTAGTGGAACAGGATGAAAATATTCTTACGAGTGACTGGTAAGATTTCATCACTAAGGGATATGCCACAGCAGTCTCTTATTCCTGCTCAGAATATTCTTCTGACTTAAATTCAAAGTAGGAAATGGAATTTTCTTGGGTTAGTTTAAGTGAAAGTGAAACTTCAAAACAGATTTCTGAATGTTCATAGTATGTAGCACCTCTTCGAGAATAATAACTTCCTGTAAAATAATTTGGCATATAGGTGAGTCACGTGAGTTGTTTTTAATTCCTGGATCAGTAGAACAACATATCTAGACTCTCAGCTTGAAAATATGTCAAAAAATCAAAGTAGCAGGGAAACGGTTCTCCCTTTAAAGAGTCTTGAACTGTATGTCAATTAGGTAATGCTAAAAGTGGATTTAGCCAAAAATTATTTCAAAGCATTTGAAGAAATAAAGTACAAATGCATTTAGATTAATGAGATATTTGGTGATATTTTATCTCTCACATTTTCTGTGTGAATATCACTGTTTAGAGACTACTTGCAATTTAAGTTTTAATTTTTATAAGGTATTTTGGGAGACTTTGCTCCTAAATTCACTTCCTATATAAATTTGTATCTTAATTCAGACCAACAGTTGTTCTTCCATATTCCTTCTGCCCCTGCTTTCTTTTGTCTGTCACCATCATCATTTGAGCTACTTATTCTGAAAAACTCTGAATGGGTTAGAAATTAGAGCTAACTTTTACCAAATCTAAATCTTTACAGCAAAACTTGAGTTGCGTTATTGAAAGGGTTGCAGAAGCTGGTGTTCCTATAACAAATGAAATGTTAGAAACTACTATTTAGGATTTTGACTATTGAAATATGAACATATGAGCAAATTGCATATAACAATATGACCAGATTATTTTGTAGGTTTAGGTTGGGGTTTTTTTAGGTACAGTTGGCATTTGAAATACACAATTCAGTCTGTCTATTAAATACTCTGTTTTGTTTTTTTTTTCCTGGTCACTCTAAAGCACTGCAAGCATGTGGCTTTATGGAAATAATACGAGGTTTAAGCAATCAGTTTGTGTACAGAGTTCATATGCTATTCTTCAGATTTTATTATACAATAAGATTCTCATTTTTACTTGCATAATTCAACCCTGATTTGTATTTCCTTTTCATAAAGAGTTTTCATTTGAAAGGTGACACAGGTTCACTTTTTCAGTAAATCCAAATCTGTAGTTGCTCAACTAAATTATGGATTTAAGTTAGTTTCAATTTCAACTGTTAACCTGTTTTCCCACTTGACTCATTAGTATTGCAGAGTCAGTTGGTCACTATAAAGGTACAAACTGGCTGGTTGTGTATTTGCTTTTGTTTTGTGTGTGTCCCCCCCCATGTTTTTGTCTTTGCACATCAACAAAAATTTCCAAGTAGCTGTATCTGCATCTGTGTGTCCTCTGCGTGTGCAAGTACAGGAACTTCCTATTGTATTTTGGAAAATTCCGTGCGTCACACAAAGGGGACAACTTAACTTTCCTTTTTGGAGATGAAATGCAGAAGTAGAGAGTGGTAGTTGACTGCTGTATGCAAAGCTGAGTTTGTAAATAGGTAAGAAAAATGCAGCTTTTAGTTAAATTCAGCCTATCTTGCTAGGAAAATTTGTGAGACTTACCAAATAGGAAATGCACAAGATTGCTTTTTGAGTGTCACTTTGTGGAGTACAGCCACGTGTTGCTTTATTTCATTTGTGGTTAAAAATAACTTGTTTTGTTTTTTTTCAGCAAACAAGAGCATGACTCTTCAGATGAAACAAAAGAATTCAATAGAAGTCAAACTAAAAAAGTTGCATCAGCTGAAAAGAATGAAGAAAAGTCATTGTCAAATACAGAAAATGTTCCTAGTTTGGAACTTCCTGACAACAGCTCAAAGAATTCTTTGCATGAGAAAGGAGCATGTTCTGATTCATATAACAGCAAACAATTAGTAGATGAGAAACAAAAACGTATTCATGGTGAAAGCGAGTTAAGAACTTGCCAAAGTTCAGATACTGTTATCTTGAATGAGCAGACTAAAGTGAATAGTTTGGATGTAACTACGCTTTCAGCAATGAACCCAAGGGACTTAAAACTAACATTAGGTGAAGATGTTAGTTTTGAGCAGTTCTTGAGAAAAAGAGATGAACCTGAATCCATTAGTTCAGACATTAGTGAACAAGGTAGTATTCATTTGGAGCCTTTGACTCCATCAGAGGTACTAGAGCATGAAGCTACTGAAATCCTTCAGAAAGGTAATGTTGCACCTTCAGCAAAGAAAGCTGGACAACTCTCTGAACAAACAGATGAGACTTCTAAAGAAAGCAGTCCCAACAGAATGGAAACAGTTGTACACAAGACAGATGAAAATGAAGCAAGCTGAAATAATGTTAATTTGATTGTTTGTTAAAAACAATGGTAAGAACACCATGGACCATTCCTGATGAGTGTGCTCATTTTCTAATTACAAAAACAGAGGGGGGTGGGGGAGAGAAGAGATGCTGAAGTGAAGTCTTGCATATGAAGACAGCATGTATGTGTATGTGCAACTGATATAACTAAATTTACAAAAGGTGATGTTCAGATACATCTTCCTGTCTCTTGGATGTGATACATGATTGACATTTGAAAGGAGGAATAAATTCTAATTTTATAGTTTACTAGCCTGGGATAAGATGATTTGTTTGCCAAGAAAATATTTTTTTAAATCCTTCAGTGTGAATATCATTAAACAGTGGAATTTAGTATGGATTAACTTCTGATGCTAAAATGGAGCACACTTGCAATGATGGTTATTGGTCTGCTGATACTTCGGGTAAACCTAATCCTTTGGACTTGATGTCACATTCCTGTCTGTAAAAGCATGTAAACAGAATTATGAGTCTGTGCACCTCTGTACAGGTGTAATCCTACCAGGCTATAAGCTTACCTTAATAAACTTTCAGTGAAAGTGAAACTATTACAATAAAAATATATATTTGTGGGATTTTCAGTGTGCAGGCTGTGCAGAAATACCTAACATAATTGTATAAAGTAGAACATAATGCTGAAAGTACTTGTAGCTGTTAGGCTTTTATTGTTGTTTATTATGATTCTTAGCCTTAGACCCATAGGAATGGTCTGTAAGTCACACCAAAGTTCAGTTTAACGTAAAAATTGTTTTAAGCAAAATTAAGAAAAACCCCAGACTGGAAACATCAACTGGCATGTGTTCTGCCGTTTTGCAGCTGCTACTGGCAAACTGTTACAAAAAGGACACAAGGGCATATAAAGTGGACTTGTACAGTTCAATTTCAGGACTTCTTTTGTAGTCTAAATGGTGTACAGAGAGATGGCTGCTGATTTTCATTTAGTTTCTTTTAGTTTTGTTTTTTTTTGTCTTCTAGTTAGCAGCTAGATGTAGGAAAGCATCTGATTAACAGTAGTTTGCTTTTATGACTTCATTGCTCCATTTGAAAAATTCAGAATGTGCTTTTGACTTACAGTTTTGTTTTTAATGAATGCTAAATGTTTTGAACAGCTGTTAAGGCACTTCTGTAAATTATTACTTTTTGAGTAAATATTTGCAACAAAATTTTGTCTTTGTGCATAATTTGATGCTCAGCTTGAAACTTTGGGCAGAGTCTTCCCACCTTTATAAAAAAGTTTTAGTGATAGTTCCCCAAATTTATTTCATTTTAACATTGTGAATTTGAGACTTATGGTGGTGTTTGGGGGGGGGGGGGAGGGGGGGAGGTACTGTTGCTTTAGAACTAAACGAATAAGCACCTGTGCATAAACGTATTTTTGTAGCTGTGTATTGTGGTAAGATGTGATAACTTTTCCAGATTAAATACAGATACTTTTCTGGGCTGTTAGCATGGAACTGAAGCCTGCCCTGTCCTCTTGGGTTAACTGGGCTCAGCTGCTAAATGAGTCTAAGCAATAGAATCAAAATTTATAGACCTTTGCAGCTTATTGGAGGAATTGGACCCTCTGAATAAACCACATCAATCTCAACATCTCAAAAACTGCTTCATACTCTGAAGAGCTATATGATGTAAATTTTGAATTGCATCTTAATTTTCATCCATGCATGTTCAGAAGACTTTTAAAAAGAAAAATGGAACCGTTTACCTAGTCACAGCTCTTCAAGACCTGCCATTTGAAGAACTTCAAACAACAAAACATGTGAAAAGCCTGACAGCAATTAAGTTGCAGTATTCTTTTCTTCTTATTTGTTTGGGAATTTTGTTGGGTTTAGTGATCAAGTTAGTAACTTGAGATAGGATTAACCAGACTGATGTCTTTATGCCTGTACATATGTATAAAACACAACATCAGAATGAGGACAGTTTAAAGGACTTAACAGCTATGGAACTTGGTGTGTATGTTACTGGTGGAGTCCCTGAATGGGTCTGTTTGAATCCAGAGAAATCTCAGTAGTATTTTTTTATATGATTAATGATCTTCCATGAAAATGATGTATTTTGAATAGTGCTTTGATACGTGGTTTTGGAAAAGATTAAATTCATCTGGAAACAGTTGTATAATACTTACAAATTTCTCAAATTTTTAATTAGGCAAATAAACTTTTCAAACATTTACCATTTTGAGAATAAGAATTTGGCCACATACTGTTCAGAAAAGTTGGAAAATAAAACTTGGATTTAAAAATTGCATGTTTGGCAGAAGTGTATATATTTTCATTTTCAGATACTTAATGTATAAAGCATTGTTTGTTTTAAATAATGTAGAGAATGCTTGTACAAAAGGAAATGTTAAATATATAACACCTTTCCAAAGGAAGAGTGTTCTAGCAAGGCCATCAGATCTCTTTAAATGGGTAAGTTGATTCATGAAAACAGGGGCATGGAATTTTTGTGAAGGATAGCAACTAAAATTCATTACAATTTTTCCTAAACCAAGTAATTATTTTGCCAACTGAGCACTGTAGGTGACTGCATAATTATGAATATTAATCTCTATTGTGTTATTTGGGAGATTTCTGGGAGATAAGTTGAATTGGTACTTCTGGAGGAAGTCACTCCAGAGGATAAAGTTACATCAAATGCATTTTGATATATTTGAATGTGACTACACATGATTCAGGTTTTTGTTCATTTCTGAGTAATTTCAAAGTCTTTTTTCCATCTAGTATTTCTTACTCTGTGCCACCTCTGGTTTTAATTTGGGAGGCATTTTACTTCAAGTTTTCATTGCCTTATAAAAAATAACCAGTCGAGTTACTGAAAGTTACTTGTATCCATACTAGATCCACCATCAACTTCCATGTCAAAAGATTAACCATATTTGCTTGAATAGTTATTGCAGATGGTTTAATGTTTATTTTGAAGGAAATCGCATGCTATGCTTATGCTATTGTTATTTGCATTTAAACAAAAACATGACATTATTAGCTCATGGTCAATGAGTGTTCAGTCACTTGGAGCTTCCTCAAGTGCAGCCAATGTCTTAGTTTGCATTGTGCAGTTTGGGAGACAAACTGGCTTACTGTCGTTCAGATTTCCTTTTAACAGAATGGATGAGTAATCCCAGGAAAAAAAAGAAAAACAGGTTAAATTATGGCCTGTGCTGAGTTCTAGGTATTGGCTTATGTATTTTAAACAAGATAATTCTTATGACAAAACCATGTCCACTTTTTTTCCTGGAAATGGGGAGAGAGAAGAACCCTGGTTTTAAATCAGGTTCTGTGGTGCTTTACTGCCAGAAGGCATTAGGAACTGAAGGTCAGGGTAAAGAATCTTAAGTAAGGCTTGGTATTCTGCATAACCTTACAAGATCTTGGAGCTTTTCTGCAGACGTTAAGTATTGTCATGTAGACAAGTAGAAAAGGAGGGGGGAAGTTACACTGTAGGATATACTAATACTCCACCAAAGACTGGCCATAGGCTGTCACAGTAGAACTTTGTTAGAGACTTCTAAGAAACTTCTGTGTAGGGCAAATTTTTCTGCCCAATTTTTTTTTTTTTGTTTTATTACTGTTGATTTTTTTGAGACTTGTGAGCTTATTTTGTCTAGTTGCATCCTCATTTTTGATGAATGCTTAATATGCCTCTAATAAAATTGGTAAGTATATGATAACTTTGATTTTTGCTTTTAATAAAATGTTTACAGCAGTTTTAATGTAGCTCAAAAGGACAGTTCTCGGTTCTTAGATGAAGCCAGGCATGTATCTCCTTTGAACGTTACATTTTAATGCATAATTTTTGCTGTATTTTTTTCCCCACAAATGCAGTGCTAAGAGGGAAAGTATGTTGACTGGTATTTCACATTAATTTAGACACCGCGCAGTCAGTTCTCCTGCTATGTTCCCTTGAGCTTTGGTTCACTGCTCTAGCTAAGACAATTAAAACTTTGTATTCAGTCATTTCATGGACCCAAAGTAACCATCTTAGCTTGGTGTCTCCTGTATCACACCAGATCTAAAAAATAAAAGGTGGGAAATATTCCACTGTGAAAGCCTGTACTTTGAGGGAGTTCAATGTAGTCGTTACGCCTGTAAGGTGCTATAAAGCTAATGTATTTAATGATGTAAAATGTGCTGGTTTTGTTGAGGGGTTTTTTCACTGTTCAAACTATTATGTCAAAGAGGCTGAGTTTTTTTGTGACTACCACAGGGATAACTGATATTGTATGGATATCTGCTTTTAAATTTGGGCAAGTTTAGCTTCATCTTAAATGCTCAAAGTACATGTATGGGCTATATCACACAATTTAAAATACGGTTCATTCCATGATCAAAAACCTTTGGCTTGTCAGCAACCAGTTCTCCATTTTATACCAATTTTAAAGTAGCATTGGTGAATGAATCCATTATGTTATGAACTTAATGTGAATAAAAATAATTCAGATTTTATTTCACTAAGCTGTCAATATTAGGAATTTAAATCAAAAGAGCCGTTTTCTCCAGAAGTTGTAGTGAATGGGGTAACGTATAGTGGTAAGAACATTGTCTTATACTGATAATATGGTAGCCTCAAAAATGTAACCTTCATATGTTTTGCTTATAGATAGCATAATTAATATCCTTTTGACTAAAGGAAAGTAACGTGCTGGTCTGTTTCTCAGTTAAAACTTTCTCATTGTGATACTGTCATTATATGCTAGCAACAAACTGAGGGCCTTTCTTCTCTTCTAAGGCTGTAGAAGTGGAACATTGACTACTTAAAAGTTTTTAAACTGCATGTGTTTGCATTACCTGTGTTTGCTGCCTGAAATGATTGGATTTTGTTTACCAGCTTCTCAGGTTTTCAGATGAATTCAGCTGAGACTTGTGCCTTTCCACGAAATCTTTAGTGGATAGCCTTCTGCAAGGCTTCAATTCCTCTTTGGGCTAGCAAGTTGATGGCACATATTATAATTTTCCTGGGATATTTAGTGAAATGCAGTGTTATTTGTTAGATATCATTTAAATGTCTGCTTTTTCCCTCTCACAAGCCTTTGTATCTTGTAATGTCTTTTCTTGGTGGTAGGTGTATAATCAACTTTTAAGGTGTTGGCTCGTGATGGAAAGCAAGAGATAGTTCTGCAGAGAAGCAAAAGTAAGTTCAGAATTTTAATCATGAATAGTAGTGTGCAACATGCAGGACAAGGTGGTGGTTAACATGCTTTATCTGGTAAAGTGAAGCTTTTCTTACTGGTGCCTAAAATTGTAACT